CAACATGGCACAAGTATACATATGTAACAAACCTGCACGTTATGCACATGTACCCTGGAACTTAAAGTATAATAATAAATAAATAAATAAATAAATAAAATAAAATAAAAAAAAGAATGAGCTCACTAATTAGTTTCATATTGGGAAAATAAATAGTGTAAAAAAAAAGTAAAAAAAAAAAATTATAGAACCAGCTAATTTGAAGTTATTTGCTTACAGCCTATTCAATTTTTATTGCTTACTCTATTTCATGGTTAGCTGAGGGTTTTAATTATTAGTAATTAAAGTTTTTAAGGTTTAAAGACCAAATGATTCATAAAACATAGGGAATATTTCCTACCACCACCCCATCTAAAACTAGAGACACCATTTAAACGTTAAAGTAGTCTCTTCCCAAAACAGATCAATACAGTGTCTTGTAGAGAGAGTAGGTGATTATTCAGTCTTCACTGGTAATGATTATTTGAAACAACAGCCTCTGCATGTGAGATATAATCTTCCTGTGAGGAGAATCCGGGCAGCTGTGGCACGACCTCTAGCACCAGACAGGTCTTGGGTTCAAGGATCTGCTCTGGGCTTACCAGCTTTGAGCCAGTAACAGGCTCTCGCTCTACCTCCTCATGCTACACGGAAAATGGACACAATCACAGCACTTTGTTAGTTTTCTGGGGCTGCAGTCACAGAGGACCACAGACCTGGCTGCTTAAACAGCAGAAGTTTATGATCTAGAGTTCTGGAGGCAGGAGTCCACGTCGAGGTGCCTGCAGGCAGCTCCCCAGCCTCCCTCCCAGTTCCTGTGGCCACTGGCGATCTTCCCAGGCCCCCGCCTAGAGAAACCCCACCCTGATATCTGCCTTCCCGTCGAGATGGCCTTTGCCTGCCGGGCATGACTGTGCAAACTCTTCTTTCTAGAGGAACACCAGCTATATGAATTAGGGTCCCCTGTACTCCAGGGCAATCTCACTGTAACTAATTACACTTGCAGAGACCTTAGTTCCAAATAAGGTTACATTCTGAGGTCCTAAAGGTCAGGGTATTAACACATGTTTTGGGCAACGCACAGTTCAAGCCATGGCAAACACCTGAGTCAGATGATTGATCAGAAAATCAGAGGAGACAGTGGCTAAGGATGACTTAGCATTGCCTCCAACACATGGCTTTAGCTGTTACTATCACCTCTCTACTGGAAGGAATTTCTCACAGTTGTCTGAATTATGGTGTATGTTAGTTTTGACAGAAGCTATGACGCTACTCAGAAATACATCACTGAAATGTCGTATGCCAGATGGATCAGAAGCTCTTGTGTCAAATGTGGGCGTCTGGGTCAACCACAGTAGTTGCCAGAGGCCTTGCAGAATAACTGAAACCAGGAACTGGCTTTACTACCACATCTCAGCAGCAGAGAAACAGCATGCAGAGCAGATGGCAGGCACAGGGGCTTCCCTTACAAGTGGCCACGAAAACAAAAACAACAGAAAAGAGGCCATTGTTGTGGATTGTTGACAAGGCCCTTTGGAAACGACAGTGATCTGGGTAACTTCTGGTTGCTAAGCTTTCAAGTTTTAAAAAACCAGTCCCTGTAGGAGGTGCAAAAACTGTGAGAAAAAGGTTTCTTGTTCAAGGCGCAGACGTTCCTCAGTGTACCAAGAAGTTGCTAGAAAAATGAAGGTTTGCTAGAATGTTGAGTTTCTATTATTGGGAAGATGAGAAACAGCCTGGAAGATGGCCTTAGGGTGGGAAAGTCATGGATAATCCATAGACATGTGGCGTCGGGTGATGTTTGGGGGCTTGGATAATCCATACATGTGTGGTATGGGGTGGTGCCAGGAGGCTTGGATAATCCATGCGTGTGGTATGGGGTGGTACTGGGGGCTTGGCCAGTGAGGAGCTCTGAAGGCCGGGGTGGAGGGGGAAGGTGAAGGCAAAGGAGACTGCAGGGGTCATCCTGGCAGAGGGCAGGGCTGGCTCTAGCAGGAGCGTGCACAGGTTGTGTTGGGCTGAGCCTGGCACTCAGGGAGAGCAGAGGCCGAGTAACTGTGGCCTCTATTTGCAGGTATTCTGGGCATGGCCCTGGGGGCCCAGCCTGCGGCTGCAATGACTTTTTATAGTGTTTGCTGTTATTTTTAACACTTTCTATAAAAAATGAACAATTGTGCATTAAAAATGAAGTGATGCTCAAGAAGTTTGGTTCTCAAGAGCAGCAAGTTGAGTGGCAGCAGCAAGGAGCAGAGCTGGTTCCTCGGGGCTAGGGACGTGGACCAGCGGCCCCACCCGAGGCAGCCTTGAGGGGTTCTTTCTGCAGACAGCACTCTCACAGGGCAGGAACTCTCAGGTTCTCTCAGGTTCGGGTCTGAGTCTTTCAACAGCAGCGCCATTTTTACCATGAAAGTTCAGCTTTCAATTTCTGCCCTCAAGGGAGGAAATAAAACTGAGGAATAAAACTTTTCATTCATGGATGACCTTTTTTCTCTGAGAAACCTTTAGAAGAATCTTTACTCCTAACAAGAGACGACTTCAATGCAATCACTTAATGTTAGAAATGTATTCCATATTGCTGAATCTTCGTCCACAGATACCTGACACCACCTAAGGTGTACAAATGATCACTCCACTTTCATTACTTAAAGCATAAAGAATGACCCGGAGAGTCTAAGACATTGCACAAAATCGCTCTGAGATCAATGCCTTTGAGATACCAGTAATCTATGTTAGCTTTGGGAAAATAAAGCAGCTTCACTGCAACCATGTCCAGAGGAAAGGAGATTGTGTTGTGTCTGAGTAACAGTCAAAAAGTGAAGGACTTACCACCTGCAAATCACCGTCGAGGTGAGACCTGCCAAGCCTCCAATCAGCAGAGCAGCCAGTGACATGGAGACCCAAGTCGCCCGAGGGAGCCTCCCGGAGTCTGGGGCACAGAAAGAGGCCTGGTTAGAAGAACCTTCCAGGGCCTGGGCAAGCCACGTTGTCCTGCCTGAGTCTGGGCCACACCCTGTCCTGGGCCAGCTGCCTTCACCCCACAGCACGATGTACAGAAGGAGGGAGGGAGGGAGGGTCATTTATCTGCCCAGAAAAGCCATAGACCGTTAAGTCCAGACCCGAATGTGACGTGGGGAGAGCCAGCAGGGGACACAGGGCAGAGAAGCTGGCTCGCTCTCTATGGCAGCCTCACTGTGGGCTTGGCATGGACGCTGTCCTGCAGGACAGAAAGCACACCTCACTGCCCAAACCAGGGAGGACTCTCAGTGCCCTCTGAGTGGACCGCAGGACCCAGGGAGCCCTGTGGGGTCTTTGACCGGGGCAGGAAAGTGGGACAAAGTGGTCTGTAGGGGATGTGGTGTAACACCATGAGGTTTTGCCCTTGGCTGCATTTTATTTTTCCCAGACACCTCCTAGAGGTGAAACTGTGGTCGAGGGAAGGTGGTCTGCACCTTGCAGAGCTGGAGCCCTGGGGGGACAGGGGCACGGGATGGCAGCAGATTTTGGAGCTCATGCTGGGTTTCATCAGCCCATTCCAGAAATCAACTGAACAGGGTCAGTGTGAATCGGACAGAGAAGTGCAGAAGGCCCTGAAGACAGGACAGAGGAGAGAGGCAGCCTGGGAGCCAGCCCCAGAGCATCTGGTGAGGGGCCTGAGGAAGTGCCTCCCACCTGGACCTGTGTCTTCGTCTGACAAAGCCAGGGACTGAGTAAGGGCTCCTGGGTCTGGCCCTTGGCTTCTATGCTCTCCGCAAGGAGATACCAGCCTGGGGCCAGTGCGGCTTTGAACTCAGAGCTCCTCTGACCACAGTTTTATTACTGACTTTTCTGTTTAAGTGCCCATTCGAGGTGGCCAAGGAGAAACCCAAGATGAAATGAAAACTGACTTTTAAATAAGAACTTAAATACTACCAATCAGTGTTTTTTTAAAACAAACATGAGTCGCCCTGGATAAATATCATCACTTGTGGTTGAAGAAAGGCTCTGGGGCTAAGGGAGCACGTTCAAGCACCAGACGAAGGCAGTGGCTGGGGGAATTGGGTGCTTGGTTTGGTTCTCACACTGGATTTTTTAAAGTCAGTGATGAATGCGTCTGTGGGTGGCGGCAGTTCCCTGTGCCACTTAGCGCCTGGGCATGATTTGCAGGTGTGTCTCATTTCCAGCCCAGACACAGGTAGTGTCCATGACTGTCTTCCTAGCATGGGTCTTGGACACTCAGCAAGTATTTGGTGGATACAAGAATGAATGAATAAATCCTAAATGCACATCCTGACTGTTTCTCCAAAACGATCCTGTCCTTTTAGCTTTTGCACCTCATGACTTTTCCTCCTGGGCTCCTCTAACCATCCTCCCGCCTCCAGGATCTCCTTCCTGCCACCTCTCACAGACGCAGGAGAGTCTGCAGGGCAAAATGAGCACACCGGCCTCTTGCTAAAAGTCGGTGGAGAGCAGAGCAGCTTGCTGGCCGTGGGACGCCGCTCCTCCCACATTCGGAAAGAGGCTGGGTTCATGTTTCCATCGGCTGCTGCTCGTTCTCACCCCCATGGCTACTACAGGTGGGGGCTCCGCCTGTGCTGCTGGGGCTGGCCGTGCGGGGAAGGCTGAGCCGATCTAGGCCTGAGTGGGGATTCCAGGTACGCACAGACCAGGTCAGGGCAGTCAGGACAGCGCAGCCATGGAAATTCGTTCTGGAATTGATGTTTGACATTTCTGGGAGGGGGACTCACCCTTCCTGCTGGATTTGGTTCTGAGAAATTGGGCTAGAGGTTTTCAGGGGCCACCTGTGGAACCTCAAAAACTGGCAAAGCCAAGCATCTGACATCAGAGCCTTGAGTAAGAGGAGGAGCCACGTGCTGGGCCATGGCGAGCATCTGATTGAAGCCCACCTCACACCAGCAAACGGCAGACGCACAGCAGGGACGTAAGCAGCTCCATGTCTACCCGAAAGTGTGAAATGAGCCCGGGCCGAGGAAAGGCCAGATGCCGCACAGCAGAAACTTTTCCTTTGTTCTTTGCTCCAAACTTTTCTTTCTTGGCATTTTCAATTTCAAGAACCAGTAACTGCGCCTGGAGCCAGATTTAAGGCTGTGTGTTGCTGGGGGATTCCCGGCTGAGACAGGCCCCGAAGCCCCTGTATGTCCTACGGGGGCATCGCCAAGGTCACAGCTGCTGCCAGAGTGGCTTCCTGACCTCTTCAGTGCCACTCCAGGGAGCCCTGGAGTTCTCTGCTGTGGGCGTGGGTGTGGGTGCCCCCTCTTGTGGGGCTGGGCGAGGGGGGATTCCCTGAGGCTGGGTGAAGGCCTTCCAGGGCCTTTGGAAAGAAAGGGTATCGGGTTTTGGCAGGCCCTGGGCAGACAGAGGGCATCGGGATTTTGGAGCATTCAGGTCAGAATAATGACCGGGATGGTTAATTTTATGTGTCCACTTGACTGGAGCACAGAGGCCCAGATTAGACATTATTCCTGCTGTGTTTTTGAGATAGGTTCTGGAAGGGATCGGCACTGGAATCTGTGGTCTGAGAAAAGCAGACGGCTCTCCCCAACATGGGTGGGCCCTGTCCCATCCTTTCAGGGACCCAGTAGAGCAGGAAGTGGAGGGAAAAGGACTTCACTTCTCTTTTCCTGACTTGCTGCTTGAGCTGGGACATCTCATGGCAGCTTCGTCTGCCCTCAGACTGGAACTACCCGGACCGGAACTACCCGGACTGGAACTACCCGGACCGGAACTACCCGGACCGGAACTACCCGGACAGGAACTACCCGGACAGGAACTACTCCGCCAGCAACGCTGGGGCGCCAGTTTGCAGACGGCAGATCCTGGGACTCCTCAGCCTCTCTAATTCCATGACCAGTTCTGCAGGATAGAGATGCCTTCACGTATCTATACATAGAGCTAGATGCACATCTAAAACTACGTCTGTGTATGGGTGTCTACCGCTGTATTTACATCTATACCAAATCTATATTGTGTCTATATCCAAACTTTTTTTGAGACGGAGTCTCGCTCTGCGCTCTGTCGCCCAGGCTGGAGTGCAGTGGCCGGATCTCGGCTCACTGCAAGCTCCGCCTCCCGGGTTCCCGCCATTCTCCTGCCTCAGCCTCCCGAGGAGCTGGGACTACAGGCGCCCGCCACCTCGCCCGCCTAGTTTTTTGTATTTTTTTAGTAGAGACGGGGTTTCACCGTGTTAGCCAGGATGGTCTCGATCTCCTGACCTCGTGATCCGCCCGTCTCGGCCTCCCAAAGTGCTGGGATTACAGGCTTGAGCCACTGCGCCCGGCCCTATATCCAAACTTATATAGGGATAGCTACACCTGAATCTATTCTATACCTATGTGTAAATTTATATTTTTATATCTGCATCTGTACCTAAGTCTAAAACTATATCTATATCCAAATCTAAATTGGTATAACTATATCCATGTCTACATTTTTGTTATCTATATGTATGTCTAATCTATGTGAATCCATGCAAGTATGTATATCTCAATCAATATCCATATATATTTAAATCGATATCTATATCTAAACCTATACAACTACATCTACAAACTGTGTCTCTATGGATGTCTCTGTCTAATCTAGAACTATTTCTGTGCACACATCTGCATCTCTGATTGCCCCTGTTCCTCTGCAGAGTCCATCTAATATGACAACCAGCACACGGGCTGGCCGGGGCTGGAGCTCTCGTGGGCCAGCGGAATGTGAGCTCCTCTCACAGCTACGCTTCATCCTCCCAGGCCTCGGCGTCCGTGTCTGTAAGTCACCGTGAAGACAGAAGCAGCAGCCATGGCACCTGTGTATTAATTTCTCAGACACGGGCTCTGGTGCCCACCTTCCCTGGAACCTCCGGCCTCCAGCCAGGGCTCGTATGAGGGGCTGTAAACATGGCTCAGCTGTTGCTCCTGGTTCACTCTGAGCCCTCAGCACCTGAGTGCGTGTCCCACCCAGCCGGGGCCTCTGCTTCTCTCCTGGTGTCCACCCTTCCTCATGGAAGCAGGCTCGGGATTCAAGCTGTCATTCTGAAAGCTGAGGGACAGCCACGTCCATCAACCTTTTGGGGTGTTCTGTCCAGCAGTGACAGAGCTGGTGCATCCAGGGATGGTGCTGGGTCCTGCTGGCCTGCGCTGTCTGTACGGAGAAGGCACTGATGGCTGCTTGCGTGGGAGCAGGGCCCTTTCAACAGGGACATATGTGGCCTCCATGGAACAACAGTTAGGCTTGTGCATCAGAGATGCAGAAAGGTCATGCCCAGTATCCTAATTTTCCGCGGACGATTTTGCAGGGGCAGCAGGGTCATTACAAGGGTGCTGCTGGTGGGGGAAGCTTGCATCCCCAGCTGTTCACCTCCCAGCTCCTGAGATGCTCTGGGGGCACTTTCCCTCCCTCAGTCTCTTCCTTAGAAAGAGAAGGTCACTGTCCACCATCGCTCCCCATCAGGCTCCACCGGTGGCCCGGCCCAGTGCCTCCAGAGGGCCTGGGTCCTGCCAGGGAGGCCAGGGAGGCACAGGGCAGCTGTTGGAGAGGAGACTCCTGGAGGCAGCCAGCTGCTTGAGGGGCTGCAGGGCTCAGCAGGAAGACGAGTGTTCTGCGGTGGACCCTGACTTCACGTTCAGCAGCCAGGAGCCCAGCAGGGGCAGAGCAGGGCAGGGACAGCACCATGCAATCATCACATCCACCACACAGAACCAGCAGGCAGCGCGGAGCTCAGAGCTGCCCTGAGCACGGGCACTGCATGGGCGCTGGTCCGGGCCGGGCTCAGGGGTTCTCTCGGACGCCCTTGACGGGGGCAAGACCTGGAGAGGCAGATGGACGGCGTCCAGGCAGGGGGATTCCTTAGCAAAGAGGTAGCACTGGGAGGGAACGTCTCAACTCCAGAGACACATTTGACTTCAGGGTTTATAGAAAAGAGTCCTTAAGATGTAGGAAACAGATAAATATATGTTGTAATTGTTCTCAGGAAAAAAACTAAAACGAGACATTTGAAGCAACATGTTGGAAATTAGCTTATGCTCCTGTGTATGAACTTCTTCTAAGGTTTTATTCTGAAGATTAAAAGATGGCACCGTGGGCCACGTGCTGTCGTGGGCTGAACTGGATCTCCCAGATTCTCATGCTGAAGCCCCAATGCCCCTGGCCTCAGAATGTGGCTGATTTGGGGATGGAGCATTTGAGGGGGTAATTGCAGTGACACGGGGATGTCACTATGGGCCGTGGCCCAAGGCAGCTAGGTGGCGAAGCTGCCACGTTCACAGAGAGGAGCTCAGCTGCTTTCCACATTATTATTATAAACCCACGAAAGCCGATTCAGAACCCTGCTCAGGTGCAGCTGGTGGGACATATCCTTATGTCATATCATATCCTTATGATATGAGGCCTCAGACACACAGAGGGACCGCCCTGGGAGGACACGGGGAGAAGTGGTGTCTGCAGCCAAGGGGCGAGTCCTCAGGGGGAGCCAGCTCTGCTCTCACCTTGATCTTGGATTCCAGCCTCCAGGACTCGCTGAGAGATAAATCTCTTGTTCAAGTGCCCAGTCTGCAGGGCTTTGCTGTGGCACCCCCAGTCTGCAGGGCTTTGCTGTGGCACCCCCAGTCTGCAGGGCTTTGCGATGGCACCCCCAGTCTGCAGGGCTTTGCTGTGGCATCCCCAGTCTGCAGGGCTTTGCCACGGCACCCCCAGGAAATCAATACAGTTCCTTTAACTGCAACGTTAGGAACAAAACACAACAAAAGCAGAGCTCCCTCCATAATTATATTGACACCGAAATCTATGTGTGTTTCTACATCTAAACATATATAGGGATACCTATACCTAAATTTAAATCTATTCTTTTATACCTATAGGTGAATTTATATCTATATATCTGCATCTGTACCTATATCTACAATTGTCTATATCCATAATCAATATCTATATGCACACCTGTATCTAAATCTAAGTCTGTAAGTCACCGTGGAGACAAGAGAAGCCCTGAGCACCTGCATATTAATCTCTCAGACCTGGGCCCTGGTGCACAAAATGGTCTTAGGCTCATGTGCTGCTGGCCCCAGTCATGGTGCAGGTGTTCAAAGGGGGCCCAGGAGGAAGAGAGGTGGTGTGCAAATTCTCTTAGGCACGAATTCATCTCTGGGTGCTCTCCGGGAAGAGGAAGAGAGGTAGTGGGTGAGCCCTCTTAGGCACAAATTCATCTCTGTGCTCTCCCAGGGCTGTTCCTGACTTCCACTGGGCCTCCTTTCTCCATCCTTCTGTGGGTGAGTCCAGAAGAAAACACTGGGAGGGTGGAGGGTGGTGGCTTCAGCTGGAGGACAGCAGTAGAAGTGTTTTCTGGGGCCCCACGGAGCCATCTGACGGAGTGAGATATTACCAAGAATACAGCAAGTGCTTCTGGGCTGCAGTGCAGCAAAACTGCAATCTTGATGTAAATGTCCCACCGGCTTCACCTGAGCAGGGTTCTGAATCGGCTTTCGTGGGTTTATAATAACAATGCGGAAAGCAGCTGAGCTCCTCTCTGTGAACGTGGCAGCTTCGCCACCTGGCTACCTTTGCAATTCACATCTGAACCGTTGATTTAAACATTTTATTTTAAAACCTGAATGCAAGAACTGCTGTTTCTAGTTTTCCATGACTGAGAGTGGTCTGGTTTGAAATGAAGAGAAGCTATGATTTCATATGGAGAAAAAATATGAATAAAACCAGAGGCTGATAAAACAATGAGTGTGAGGGGGGAATGCTGTGCAGAGAGCGGACATCCGAAACAAGAGGGTGGGGTGTGCCTGACACAGGAGGGGGGTGTGTCTGACACAGGAGGGGGGTGTGCTTGACACAGGAGGGGGGTGTGCCTGACACAGGAAGGGGGTGTGCTTGACACAGGAAGGGAGGACACGCCTGTCAGGCGGATGTAGCTTCAGAGCACCAGAAGGAGCATCCTCGGCCTCTGAAGGCCCCACGCAGCTGCGTTCTGGCCATCTTTTTTCAGACTCACTCGCTTCTTGACTGGCCTTAACCTTGGCCCTTGTGTCCTTCGCCTGAGGAGCTGAGTTTCAGCAAGAATCCTATTATTCCAGCTTATCAGAATCCCCTTAATGAAGTTGAGTCATGAAGCGTTTTGCACTGACGTCTTTCTGTCCTGGCTGGACGTCCCAGCTGCCTTTGCTGCATTTGGGCCTTGCACTTGGTTCTTTCTGGAGACCTCACTCCCCTATGACAGTAGCTCAAAGGAATTCTGTCTGTAACTCGAGTCTGGCGAATAATTATTTTTCTATAAGAGTTGGAAGTCAACTATTAACACAAATTCCCGGCCAGCTACGGAGTGGCTGTGTGAGTGGCAGCATCTCGCCCTCTTATCACTAGTGTCCTTTTGTATAAAATGAAGATTAAAGATAATGCTTACTTAAGAGCCACAATTTTCAGGGGAGTAAATTCTTCCAAAGTTTGGGCGTATCTGGCGCCTGACTTGGAGGCAGCGGTGAGGAAGACGCTGTCCCTGATCTGAGGGCAGAGCTGGGGGACTGGGCAAGGCCATCCAAGGTGGATGTTGAGCACCCAGGCCCCATGCAGGGCGGGGACATCCAGAGGTGGGGGTGGGCGACAGGCAGGCAGCTGTGCTGCTGGCCCTGGTCAGGGTGCAGTCGGGTGCATTTGGAGGGGGCCTAGGAGGAGGAGAGGTGATGGATGGGTCTGTATTGAACACTGCCTGTTTCATAAGTTTTGTGTCTTGGGGGTGATCTAGGTTGGGTATGCACCTGTGGACCTTGTCTGGAAATGCGTTCTGGCTGCCGCCCCCAGCCTCAGCATGCACCGAGGATCTCTGCACAAACAGCAGATATGAAATACATCCTCTGCCCCCAGCACAGCGCGGACGCCCCTCGGGCACCTGGGCTTGGTGTCTTATTCATCTCTGCCCTTCCCAATCAAGATGGTGATTGACAGTTGCCTAACTTGAACACATTTTTCTTCATTTTACAAAAACTCGCAAATAGATGGACAGAGAGGGAGGGGAGCAGACTCACCTATGCAGGTTCTCCCATCGTCTCCTAACTCATAGGGGTCCACGCAGAGGCACTGGAAGCCGCCCTTGGTGTTTCTGCACCTCGCAGAGGCGTGGCAGGGTGGGTGGGCACCGTCTGCACACTCGTTCACATCTGCCAGACACACAAGGCCACACACGTGAGAGGAAGCAGCCGCACCCCCTTCTCTCCCGTGTGACCCCCGTTCTGGGAGATGCTTCTGTCTGGGAAGGTCAGCCCTTTGCCTGACACCCCACCCAGTCTAGGGGGAACCAGGCACCACCTCTGCTGTTGTGTGGCTGCCCCCTGCTCCCTGCACATCTGAAAAGGTGACGAGGAGAAGACGGACACACGCTGGCCGTGGGCTCTGAGCCTGCAGGGAGTCCACACACTGGGGTTCACTCAGGCCCAAGTCACAGGAGCCTTCCTGGAGGAAATTAGGGTCTGCCTGGGATAGGGGAATGTGGAATTTGGCCAAGTGCAGGACACAGGGGCAGGAAGGGGCCAGGGGGAGGGTAGGGCAGGGTCCGCTTCGCCCAAGCAGAGACTCCCAGCTGGCCCAGATGCTCCAGGTCCTCTGAGAGCAAGGACTGGGGCCACCTGCCACCGCCAGTGAGGATGGTGCGTCCCCTCCTGCTCTCCTTGAACACGAATCCTACATCTAGTACCTCATCCCCTAGGCTTCTATTTCCAGATAATCTGCTGTACATTTTGTTCAAATAATGTTCCTTTTCTGGTCAATTTTAGAAAACAAGCAGGAGCGTGTCACAGGTCTGCTCCACATGCCCAGTGTATGTTCTCTGAATGGCACAGGTGCTGTCAGTGCTGGGACACGTGCTCTTCCAGGAGCTGCTCTGTCTGGAGGGAACAGAGCTGGACTGGGTGCAGTCTCTGCCGAGGGCCAGGCTGGGGGCAGCAACCTGCCTGCGCTCCTGGGGTCCTGGTGCCGACGACACCCCCAGACAGAGCGAAGGTACTGGGAGGGGTGGAGGGGCTCTCCCCAATCTCACCGCTGAGTGGAAGAGCTGGGGTCCACACAGGCCACAGGGACTTGGCCCCCGACTCGGCCACCCCAGGACGAGGAGAATGTGCGAACCTGGGCAGCGCTCAGGCGACCCAGTGCCGGAGACCTGCGGGGCCTTGAAGGTCAGCTGGGGTGGCCTGCTGCCCTCCTGCTCCCCAGGGTGAGGGGCTGCACTGGGTGGGACTACCCATTCCTAACTCAGGGCTCTGGGGTCGGGGGGAGCCTTGGTTCCAGCTGGTTTTCTGTTACAGAATGGGTATCATTATGTCTGTTGTGAAAAACGGGCCTGGAATCAAAGATGGTGCTTATGACAACTAGCAGGGTGTTGGGGATATCTCAGGCTTTCTGAAGAGGACAGTCTTTAATAATGACATTATTGATAATGACAACCACTCTATAAGAGTATGAGAAGCCGGGTGCGGTGGCTCACGCCTCTAATCCCAACACTTTGGGAGGCTGAGGTGGGGGGTCACCTGAGATCAGGAGTTTGAGACCAGCCTGGCCAACATGGTGAAATCCCGTCTCTACTAAAAATACAAATATTAGCCAGGTACGGTGGTGGGTACCTGTAATCCCAGCTACTCAGGAGGCCGAGGCAGGAGAATCACTTGAGCCCAGGAAGCAGAGGTTGCAGTGAGCAGAGATTACACCACTGCACTCCTGCCTGGGCGACAGAGTGAGACTCCGTCTCAAAAAAATAAAAAGTATAAGACAAGGGTAAAGAAATTTCAAGGGATTGGAGCTATTGACTATCGGCCACTGTTAATTGTCTGTATCTTGCAGCAGCTATTAAAGTTTTATGTATAGGTAACCATGTCAAGGCTGTTAAACATAGAAGGTCTTTCTTGGCTAAAGCTGCCCCTGGAACCAGCCCCTCCTGCATCCCGCTATGCAGAGCTGTGAAGTGCCGGAGCTGCACGAAGGCATCTGCCCCTGGAACCAGCCCCTCCTGCATCCCCCTATGTAGAGCTGTGAAGCGCCGGAGCTGCACGAAGGTATCTGCCCCTGGAACCAGCCCCTCCTGCATCCCCCTATGCAGAGCTGTGTGAAGGCATCTGCCACTGGAACCAGCCCCTCCTGCATCCCGCTATGCAGAGCTGTGAAGCGCCAGAGCTGTGCGAAGGCATCTGCCGCTAGAACCAGCCCCTCCTGCATCCCGCTATGCAGAGCTGTGCGAAGGCATCTGCCGCTGGAACCAGCCCCTCCTGCATCCCGCTATGCAGAGCTGTGAAGCGCCGGAGCTGTGCGAAGGAACCAGCCCCTCCTGCATCCCGCTATGCAGAGCTGTGCGAAGGCATCTGCCGCTGGAACCAGCCCCTCCTGCATCCCGCTATGCAGAGCTGTGAAGCACCGGAGCTGTGCGAAGGCATCTGCCCCTGGAACCAGCCCCTCCTGCATCCCGCTATGCAGAGCTGTGAAGCGCCGGAGCTGTGCGAAGGCATCTGCAGCCGCCCTGGGGTAGGGGAGTGTTTCTATCATGATTGCGTGAGAAATCGAGGCCATCACCCATGGATGCTGCAAGCCCGTTTTCTCTTCTTCACCCCCAGGGTGTGCCATGGGGCCCTCAGAGTGGGAACGGCAGCTGCCAACACATCCCTACCTCCCTCTCGGGGAGTTCCCTTGGAGCAGCTTCCGCCCCTCTCCTCACCCCCTCCCTGCAGCTCAGACTCATCCTAGGTATGAGTTCCCTGTGGCTGCTCGGAAAAATCATCACAAACTGGACGGCTCCAAGCAACAGAAATGCATCCTCCAATAGTTCTGGAGGTCACAGGTCTGAAATCAGGGTGTCGGCCGGGCGGTGCTCCTTCGGAAGGCTCTCGGGGGAGGGGGTCATTCCTGCATGCTCTGGCTCCTGGGGGGTCCTGGGGGGCCCATGCCTGGCAGATGCTTTGTTTCCATCCTGGGTCTTCACACGTTCCCATCTCTCTGTGTCTTGTCTCCTCTTCCTACGAGGACACTGCACATTGGATCGGGACGTACCCGACAGCCTCATTTTAACTTGATGGCACCTGCAAAGGCCTTGCCTCTTCTTCAGGCCACATGCAGAGGTACACGGGGCTAGAACTTGAGCATAGCTTTTGGGGGGCACAGTTTGGCCCACAACGCTCCACCCAGGGTCAGTTTATTCTAAGCAGAAGCCTGAGTCAGGGGCCAGGGCCATGCAGGTCTCCTTCCCGAGGATGGACAGGAAGGAGGGGGACAAATCGGCCCTGTCTGAAGAGCAGCACTCTCCCCAGCAGAGGAGGAAACCAGCCTCAGCCGCAGTGTCCCCAGATACCAGGGCAACCTGCACAGAGGCCGAGACTGTGCTCTCTGGCTGCTTCACCTTGAGTTTCAAGAAGAGTGGCCGTGGCGTCCACAGTCTCCATGCACAGTGAGTGCACAGATGTGCACGGATGTTTCCATTTCTCTAAGCAAATTAGTATTGGTTGTGAACCATATTTTCCATAATATGCACAAAGCATTTATGTATATTCGTTTACTGCATAACCTCCTGACAATAACTGATGTAAAAAGCCACTGATTCATAGCTTTTTATCTATTTGAAATCTGTAGCATCAAGGCACTCAGAGGAGACTCACTGCAATGCATTTGCCAGTTTTTTTGTTTTTTGTTTTTTTTTGAGACGGAGTCTCACTCTGTTGCCCAGGCTGGAGTGCAGTGGTGCAATCTCGGCTCACTGAAACCTCCACCTCCTGGGTTCAAGCAATTCTCTTGCCTCAGCCTCCTGGGTAGCTGGGATTACAGACACCCACCACCATGACTGGCTAATTTTTCTTCTTTGTATTTTTAGTAGAGGTGGGGTTTCACCATCTTGGCTAGGCTGGTGTTGAACTCCTGACCTCATGATCCACCTGCCTTGGTCTCCCAAAGTGCTAGGATTACAGGCGTGAGCCATCACGCCCAGCCTTAATATCAAGTTTTTATGTGGATGAGTTTTAGTGAATAAGTAGAATTTGAATAGAGAAGAGAACAGCAAATACTATTTGTTTTTCTATATTATTCAGTTAAGTCCACAGCCTTCCTTTCTGGAGCCGCAGACATGTTGATGAGGAGATTTCACTGAGGACCTGCTTGAGTACTTACATTCTTGTCAATTTACCGTAAATGTAAAGTTTCCTCTCTCTTGATTTTTTTCCCTTGTGATTCTTGATTTTGAAACTTCTAGTGCAGGGAATAGCTGTGGTAAAAATATTTGTGCACATGCACTTGTACCAGATTTTTGAGTTTTGTCATTTATTTCTAAGACATATTTTAATTATAGATGTGATAAAACAAACAAGAAAAAGAGTCGTATTGCTGCAGGTCAGCAATCCCTCCTCCCTGTTCCCATGGCAGGCTGCCGAGGTCTCCAGTATGAACAGGCTCTGGAGCACAGCCTAGCGCTCCCCTCGCATTCGGGAGGACACTCATCAAAGTGATGTGTGTGCCCGTGGCCCACTGCTTTAAAAACACCTGAACGGATTCCCAGTGCACACACTGCTGTGCAGCCTGCACATTTATTGAGTGATGTGTCACCAAGTGTCACCAACACTCTTCCAAGTCAGCGGACGCCCTGCTAACTGTGCAGCGTAACTGTTCTGGGTGCAGCTGTCCCAGCATTCGGAGCACGGCGCCTGGGCACGCACGGTGTCATCAACAGGCCTGCGCCCCACTCTTTGTGCATTTCTAACTAATTTAAATTGATGCCTCATTCCTGTCCTCATTTAACGTTTGAAAACCTGGAGGCGCAGAGACTCAGCAATTTTGGGAGACAGATTAAATGGCTACTGAAATGGCTGTGGCAGGAGAACATGAAGTTGGGCCCGAGTCAGTGAACTACAGAGAGAAGACAGAATGAGTTAGGGTTGGCCGATGGGCGTCTTGGACCTTCACACACACAGTCTAACGGGGTCTCGTGAAGTGTGTGGATTCTGACTCAGGGATTGTGGCGGGGCCCCAGGCGCCGCAGGTCTAACAAGCTCCCTGGTGACGTTGCTGCTGCAGCCAGGGAATCCGCCAGGAGCACCGGCTCCTGTGCACGGACCACGCTGAGAAACAGTCCTACACCCTGGGGAGTACCCAGACTGGTTCAGAAATAGTCCTTCTCACAACAGGTCTTAACCTTAGACAGCTGTTAACTGTTGGACTAAAAATCAAGGAAGATAAATGAAAAGACTTCAATAACAAAAGAGTGATTTTGATGGCATAGGATGGTCTAGAGGAGGCTGGAGGAGCATTCCTCGTTTAGGAGACAGATGAGAAAGTCACAGGCCAGAAGGTCAGAGGGCACGTGCACAGGGGACAGCTCTGCACAGGCAGGTTGCAGGACACCAGCAGTCTCCCTTCCCGATCCACTCTAAGGTCTCGCCCATTTGTATTTGCACCTTGCAGATCCCTGTGATAGCACTTTGGGGTCATTCATACTTAAGATAAGCTAAAATGGACACGTGAAACATCTGGGTATTTGGGCAAGGACGGACGTAGGTGTACAGTGAAATGCACCACAGGAAGGCTTGTTAACACAGAACATGCAACGTGCTGCACCCTGAAGCACTTGCCGTCAATTCCTTAATGGTGATGCCAACATGGAAAACCAGGAACGGGGGTGAAGTGGGCACTTCAAGCTTGCACAGTCTCTAAGCCAAGGGAACAGGAGAAGCGCGATTCGTGATCCCTTTGTCACTGAAGGGTCAGTGACAGAGCCCGCGGCCAGGAGTCATGCAGTGGTGTTAACAGCAACCACGAGTTTACACAGATGTCATCGCCCGACAGAGTAGCTGTGTTTCTATCACCGAGGCTTCCGGAAAGTTCCCTGGGAGAAACATCCTGGTCTGCTGTTCTCTGGGGCATTGTCTAACCTCTGGGTGGTTTCCTTGTACATTGTCATTTGTGACCAATCCCAGAACGCAGCAGGGGAGCACGTCTACAAATCTAGCATCGTGCAATTAACAGTTTAAACGAGGGTTTCCAGCCCAGGCTGCCGGTTTCCAGCGATGACACCCTCCCGCATCTACGTAGCAGGCCTCTGCCCTATCTGTGCCCAGGCAGCTCCCTGTGTCCTTAGCGACTCTGAAAGTTATTTCTGAGGCACCATTCCCCAGGTGGCTTCGTTTCCTCCTCTCCTCATCCCTTCTCTCCTCTCCTAACAGAAAGATGGCTCCTGGGAGGGCACCTGAGACCACAGACTTGGAGGGAGCCGCACCCCTACCTGACCCCTGCCCTAGCACTGAGTCCTGCTGGGTCTCTGGTGCACGCGGGGTCTCAGCCTCTCCCTTTACGACTGAGGGTCTGGAAGCAGTTGGCCACTGCAACCCTTCAAGGACAAACATTTTGGACTTTCAAAATTGAAATGGAAATTTTGTTACTGTGCTAAATTATACATAATGTGAAATTTACCACCTCAGCCATTTTTAAATGTACAGTTCAATGGTATTGACCTTGTGCAACTTATCCCACCATCCCCCTCCAGGCCTTTTTTTTTTTTTTTTTTTTTTTTTGTAGAGATGGGGTTTCACTATGTTTCTCAGGCTGGTCTTGAACTCCTGGCCGCAAAGGATTCTTTCACCTGGGTCTCCCAAAGCACTGGCTCCAGGACTCTCATCTTCTGAAAACTCTGAGAAAACTGAAAACTGTGGATTTTGCTTTTATTTCTACTTGCAAACCAGCCAGATTCTGGCACGAGACCCTCTCTTTCTTCTGTGGTCTAGGTTAGTGCAGCTCATAGCAGCAGCTCACAGGAGGCTCTGTGTCTGATGCCAGTTTTCCTCCCCTAAAACGCAGTCCCTGAAGGCAGCCTGGCCTTCTAAACATTGCTGGTGAGTGTCGTCTGAGCAACCTGCCTCCGAGAACAGCAGCCATTCCTGCTCCTGCCTGCCCTGACCCCCTGGCCCATGAGACCAGAGCCAGCGGTCCGGGTTTTGTTGCAGGGCGTTTCTGAAGTAGCTGGGGGACACACGCCGCTTCGACAGGATGCCCCAGCCTCAGGAGTTGCACCCAGAGGGCTCTTTCTGTCTCAGAACAGTCAGTGGGGGACTCTCATTCTGCTGCTCCCCGCAGAGGGACCCCAGTACGTGGCTCTTCCCCTGGGAGGCTCTGTTGTCCAGCAAACCTGCTCCCAGGTGCCCTGGGCTGACACCCACTCAAGCCAGGCGCATGGGAGGAGGAGGTGGAGGTGGCCCACAGCTGTTTTGCCTTTGCCTCCCCAACCTGCTCTCAAGTCACCGCTAGGAGCCCGCACCTGTCTACACCTAAACATGCAGGAGGCTGGGAGTGAAACCCAGCGACTGGAGAAGAACCAGGCATGGGCTTCGGAATCAGCCACCTGTGGGAGGCAGAGGCGGGACTAACTCTATGGGTTCCTGCAGTGGAGACGTTTGCTGCCGTGTTTCCTTTGAGAAAGTGGCCCTGCGAGTTCACCACAACTTTGCCTGGAACTCATGAACTCCCCTCTCTCTTCCCTCACAGGTGACCCCACTGGTCACGATTCCACGTGCCTATTCTGAGGCCTCACTACCTAGAAAGAGGCCAGCTGGGAACACGGCCAGCCAAAGGGAGAGCCCTTGCTTCCTATCCCCAAATTGCTGCTGGGAAGATAACAGTTTCAGAAGCATCTTTTGGCGAATAAATTTTCAATGACGTTGCATTGTTAATTTATATCGGAAACATGCAGATGTTTTGTAATTGTTATTGAAGAAAGAACTGACCTTTGCAGAGCGGAGGCTGGAAATCCCATCCTTCCTGGGTGCAAGTGAGTTGCTCGTGGCCTTGGAGCTCATACCCGTGCCGGCAGGAATACACCAGCACGCGCCTCCCAGACTCCTCACAGTGCACAAAGTCCCCATTCTCCACGCTCTCTGGGAAGCCACACTTGTCATCTGTGAAATGTGGACAGGTTGACATGTAGTCAAACTGCGAGAAAAGAAAACCACATACCAACGTCCCTGTCACGGGCACACTTGTGCCCTGGAGGGGCTGGTGCCGAGGCTGGGGAGCCCTGTGGTCACTCACTCAGCAACCACGCAGCACACACCGTCACTTCCCAGGTTGGGCCCCGCTGGCTCCCATTTTCTAGGCCCCCAGTTCCTGTCTCACTAGAGAAGGGTCCCGCCCGCCCCGGGAGCTGCCCTGAGGGTGTAAGGCAGGGCGTTGACTGTTTTCTAAACAGGGAAAAGTTGAACTCAGCTCCTTGGGAAGACAAGGTTTGTTTGATGAGATGCATGTGCTGTAAGGTGGTATGAGAAGAGACCAAACGTCACCTTGAGGAAAGGTCTCCCTCCAGGCCTCCAGGTTCATGCCAGGGATGCTGTCACAAGACTCAAAGTCTTCGGGGAATTTTCCGACTCGGAAGGCGTCCACGGGCACCCTGGTGAGGCCGGTGTTGTCACAGATGACCCGAGACAGGGAGTGCTTCTCCAGCTCATGCCTCTGCGTGTCCGTGAAGACGTGGCTGTTCTCCCACCAAAACCTCCAGGGAAGGAGACAGAGCATAAGTTCACGGTGCCTGGAGAACCCCCAGGGCAGGCACTCAGGACCAGCCACCCACTGCTGTGTGCTGCTGGCCTCCCCTGCGGCGCCTGCCCAGACCCCCAGCACCCGGGGCCGCGCAGGTGCAGGCACTGAGGACCTGAAGGAGATGCGGAGGGGCAGCACGGCGTGCACCTGGCTGTCTGAACGAGCGGCGTCAGATGGAGGAGGGGCTCAGAGCCACTTCGCGTGTTGACTGTGAGAATCTATTTTGCTGCATTGCTGTTATTTGGGGTGCAATGCTGTGTTAAAAACAAGAATAATTACAGCAAATTCAGCTGCTTTCCAGGGTGCTGCTCTCTAGTCTGAAGTCAGCGTGCCCTGCACGGTCTCTCTACCTTCAGCTTCTTCCTCCAGGCCATGGGTAATCAAGAAAATTGCAATGTGAAGAAATGAAGTCCCACTTTCCCCTCAAAATACGAAAATCGTTGCCAAAGCCCCAGCAGCTCCTGGCCTGAGTGCCATAAAACACGCATTTCCCCGGCCACATAAAGCTCTTCTGCTTCCCATCACGGGGATGAATTCCTCTTAGAACATAAAAAAGTAGGCCCCACTACATGGAAGTTAATTGACCCCATTTTTGCATTGGGGAGATATTTGGTCATAAATACACAGGATGAGAAATTGCGGGCACCACCCCAGGAATCTGCCAGCTGCCTCTGATTTCAGATGGAGCTTCAGCCATGGGTGGCATAAAACACGCTTGGGAGACACACATATGGGGCAAGTTGGTGAAATCTTCCCCCTTCTGAGCGAGTGGCTTCCCATGTCCCAGAGAATTCCAAACGCACGTTTACTGAAGACACAGCTATGAGGGAGACAAGTTCATCTGGTAATTTCTCCTCAGGTGTTCGTAGCTCTTTGAAATGCTGCATCCCCGAAATTAGAGACAAAAGTCACACTGGGGAAAGGACAGGAGCCTCCGCGTGTGGCAGGTGCACTCTCTGGGAAGAGCACAGATCCTTTACAACAAAAATCTGACCTTGGCACAGTGACTACCAAAAATAGAGAGAGAACTGGATAGGTAGGGATGTCTTTAAAAGCAAAAGAAAACGTTTTCCCATTGTTTTTGTCTGTGTTGTTCCAAAATCTTAACACTGGTATCCTGTGCACCTGCTTCTACGGGAGTGGGGAAGGACTCAGAGTCAGACGGGAACAGGATCTGGCTCTGACTCCCTCCAGTACAAACCTCCACATTCCAGGTTGAACTTGAGGAGGGAGCAGACATGTACGAGGCAGGCAAACCGGGACCTCAGCTTTCTGCTACCGGCAAGCACCTCTGTGTGCAGGCAGGGGCTGGCGGACCGGGAAGGCTTGTCCAGCCCAGAGGCATCCATGAGCACCAGGCATAGCCTGTGTCTGCGCCTGAGTCACTGTCCACCTCTGCGCTTTCCTGGGCATTGTCAGGGGACGTGGGGGATGGGATGCAGTCTCAGGGCTGTCATGAGTGTGTCACAATTTGTTTTTGTTAGGCGCCTGTTTGCTCATGTGGTTGGATCTAGGAAAAATCAGTGCTAGCTCCCATTCTAAATGCTACGTGCTTTGTAGTTGCTTCATTGTTATGAAAACACAGTTCTAGGTTAAGGAAACTATGGGTGGGAGAAACAATCTGATCAGCTTATGTAAGAGTCGAGCGGTGGAGCCAGAATTTGGATGCAGGTCTGGCTGGCTTCTGAACCAATGCAGACCACCTGCCTCTGTGCAGAACAAGAAGGAAGACATTCCGGACAGGAACCTACCAGTCTCCGTCCCGCAGAGCCTTCATCTGCTTCCCAATGAGACAGGCAAACAGGGGGCCTGTCCGAGCCCTGGGGAGGAAGTTTTCAGCTAAGCCTCCCAGCCAGACGTCGATGTTGTCAGGATGCTTGTACAAGTCCAGGATCTTGTCGGCCACGCTCCTGCTGGCGATGGCTGTGCTCAGGTCAGCAGGGGTCTCCAGGCGAGGCAGGCCACAGAACTCCCTCCACTCATTGTAACCTGCACAGGGGAGAGGCTGCACGGTTTCTCTCACAGACCTGAACCTTCGTTGAGCCCATCTCGCTCATGCCGTGGTCCCCAAGACGGGAAGCACAGCAAGGCAGAGTCCCGTCCCACCCTGTGACACTGCCTGGCTGTTTGCCAGGCTAGGATATTCCAGCTCAGAAGCCAGAGCTCTTTCTGCAGGGTTTGTTCATAAAGGAGCTGGAGACAGCAAGAATGCTGAGTCCACGGCATTTAAGTGCATTCCTGTTATCGCCCAGCCTGCACTTAGTTCTCACCTCTCCAGAGCAACGGAGACAGCTCTGCATCCTCTTCAGAGTTTACCTCCCACAATGACATCAGGAGCACACACAGAAGCCAGCACTCTCTCTCGCTCTCTCTCTTCCCCCTCTCTCCCCTCTCTGTCATGCGCGCGCGCGCACACACACACACACACACACACACACACAAATATCTTTATCTGTCTGGCCAGTCATCTCCATATTGAAGACTGGAGATCTCTTCTTGCTGGGAACCCTGGTGAATCCCTGGCCTCTCTTCTCACTCCTCCTCCTGCTCGCTGCCCAGGCCCTCATCCATGGTCTGACTCTGTGGCTGCACCTTTGCCTGACACTGGTGCCCCTCCCTGTGCCCCGCTCCTCACATCCGCCTTCGTCCCTCATCCACTCCTCTTGGTTCCACCGTCGCCTCCTCCAGAAGCACTCCCTCCTCAAGGCTGGGCGACCCTCACTCCCGCGGGGTCTGATCAGAGCGCAGTCCAGGGCCTCTGCTGCTGTCTCTGCTCATCCACCCGCCCTGTGTGGTGCTTCAGCTAAGACTGTCTGGTTCTATCGTCAGCGCCCTGCCCACCGCAGGCTCCCAGCAGAAGTCCCGGACAAGTGCACGCGCAGCAACACGTGAGCACTGGGCCGGTTCCCCCAGGGGCAGTGAGGCTTTCACGGGACAGAAGGCCGGGCCTGTGGTGTCTCATGTTTAGACCAAACAGAACTGGGAGAAATAGCCAGGCATCCTCGTTAGCCTGGGAAGGGGACGCCCACGTGACAAAGAGACTCCTGGGGCCAAGGGGTGGGAACAACTTGGAGGAAGACAGATCGGAGGAACGGCAAACTGGAGGAGGAAGGCATGAGCGACATTCCAAATCTGAGCTTTTAGAGGCCGGGTGCGGTGGCTCAGGCCTGTAATCCCACCACTTTTGGAGGCCGAGGCGGGTGGACTGCCTGAGGTCAGGAGTTTGAGACCAGCCTGGCCAACATGGTGAACCCCTGTCTGTACTGAAAATACAAAAATTAGTCAGGTGTGGCGGCCGTCGTCGGTACTCCCAGCTACTCGGGAGGCTGAGGCAGGAGAATTGCTTGAACCTGGGAGGCGGAGGTTGCAGTGAACCGAGATCGCACCATTGCTCTCCAGCCTGGGCAACAAGAGTGAGACTTCGTCTCAAAACAAACAAACAAACAAAAACAAAAATAGAAACACCCTGAGCTTTTAGAAAACTGCTGTCAGGTGCTATTGAGTCCATTTGTTAGAGGGCTGAGAACCATTTCCCTGGTTAACCGTCAGGAGGAGCCGTGTGTGTCTGACTCTTGTGCTCCTAGAGTCACCCCCCTTGGCTGGCCCCACAGCCCTGGTGCTGCTGCATCTGGCAGGGGATCCCCTGATCCCCCATGAGAAGCTGTGCTGCCTCAGCCTGACTCCTGCTGTCCGCAGTGGCTCTGCTGCCCTGTATCTGCAGAAACCACTCTTATTTTCTGTTTCCAGATGGGCCATCCTGGCCCTTTCATCAAAGCCACCGGGAGGTGCTTTGCCCCATCAAGGGGCACCTGTGTCCCTCCAACTCAGCACCTCCAACAAAATTTCATCTTTATCACACAATCTACTTTAGCCTAGACCATCCCAAACATACCCCACGAATTTCTCAGCTCCAGTAACAGGCAACCTGTAGACACTTGGTTTATACAGAAAACACAGATGCCCATTGCTTGCCACAGGGCTTGGGGGACACAGCCGTTATTTCATTAAATATTTACTAAAAGAATGCATTTATTTTCAGACTAGTCAAAAACAAAAATAATGAGCAAATTAAAGTTCTAAAATGAGGAGAAAAGGTTTCTATACCGACAATTTAGACCATCTTCAAACTGTTTTAATTAGTACAATAAAAGCATTTCCACACCTGTGGGAGATTGATATCTTAATTTTAAAAAGAAAAAACAACGAAGTTAGGAGGGCATTTTCCTTTCCTATTGCTCTGAGAGGAAACATTTGCATCTTTTCCCAACTCTGGAGGGAAAATGTGCAAGGTCTGGGAAGGAGGTAAAGACGTGGAGGCTGAAGCTCTTCACAGCTCCGGAGGCCACAGAGCCCGGAAGAAACAACATCACTTCGGAGGTCCCTGCCTGTGGGAGACACCGCAGAAACGGGAATGCAGAAAAGGTGTTTCTGTTTTGTTTTGTTTTTCTGAGACGGAGTCTCGCTCTGTCACCCAGGCTGGAGTGCAGAGGCATGATCTCGGCTCACTGCAAGCTCCGCCTCCTGGGTTTCAGGCAATTCTCCTGCCTCAGCCTCTCAAGAAGCTGGGATTACAGGCGTCTGCCACCACGCCCGGCTAATTTTTTGTATTTTTAGTAGAGACTGGGTTTCACCATCTGGCCAGGCTGGTCTTGAACTCCTGAACTTGTGATCTGCCCGCCTCGGCCTCCCAAAGTGCTAGGATTACAGGCATGAGCCACTGTGCCCGGCCGCAAAAAAGTGTTTTGGGGAAGGTTGT